GTTTGCTTTGCATTTCAACATCCGTTCTGGGCTAGGTCTAAAATACCTCTTTAAAGAACACATTTCAGGAAGTAGCAGGGGAGTGGGAACTGGGGCAGCGAAGAAGTAAAAGTTTGAATCAAGTAATTTCCACCTACTTCCTCTCTTTTTTCCACCCTTCTCCCAGCATCTCCACCCACTCACTTCTCCTTAGCCTGCATTAGCACTAGAGCCAGCCACAAGCGTGGCTGCACCAGGCACCAGCGGGGTCCTCAGCACCTGGGCCACGTTGAAGCCTCTTCAAGTCTGCATTTGGAGTCACGCCAAAGCCATCTCTCTTCTGAGAGATTCAGACAACCAGATAGAAAACAGCTGCCAGTTTCTAGGAAGGCTCATGTGCTCTTCTGCGCAGCTCCTGGGGCAGTCTGTATAGTGTTACTAGGTAGCTATTATTTAAATAATAGCCAGGTGGGAGAGTGTGTCAGCCTTGACTAGTTCCAGCATTTGTGGCCTCTAGAAGAGCACTGCCCACATTGACATCCATGCAACTCTTTAGGCACGGAAAGGGCTCAATGCATGCAGACCCTTGTGCTCACTGAGCTTGAGAATGAATTTCTATGAATTCATTAGCCGAAGCTTCGAGGCAGAGTTAGGCATTTCCTAGGCAAATGGTTGCCAGGCAGGCTTCCTCTCTAGACTGGTTTTCTGCTGCGGAGGGTGCAAAGGGGCAAGTGCCCACGAGTGCAGGCGTGTAGAGCATGGTATCGCTCCTGCAGGTGTGCTGGTTGGGTCCCCCCACACTGAGACAAGAGCATCTGGGAGCTGCACTGAGGGTTTCAGCGGCAGGTGCACAGCCAGCCTCTGGTCTCTCCTGGCAGACACACAGGTGTCCCTACGCTCTGTGTAGCCATCCACCTTGTCTTTCCTGCAGATGTACCTGTCCCTTGTTTGGTCTTGACTTTGGGCCAGTATAACCTTATTTGATATGACTTCAGACCTGAAGTTCCCTTGAAACAGTGAGCATTGGCAAGCTACTTCCTGAGAAGACCCTCTGCTGGGAAAATTCCCCAGCCTCGACCTCCTCCCTTGTCAGACACCGTTTGTCATGCTTTCCACCCTAGGGCTGTTCCCACAGCCCTGCAGGAGACACCTTCAAACCTAAGGCAGCATGGCAGGACAGAGGAACTCAAATGAGGACCCAATTTACACCATATAATACGTTAGTTTGCTGAGAAAATAAACTTCACTGGCCTATCAAAGTCTTCAAATGCAGTGGCTGCAGACACAAAGCCTTATTACTCTGACAATCCCCACACCTTTTCTGGAGGTCTTGCAAGTCAGAGCTGTGAGCAACATTGGCCCTCCAGTCTTGCCATGCCCCTCTTCCCATCGCGCTACTCCCGAGCAGCATGGGCCTCAGCCCTGCTCAGTGAATGATGCAATTGCAGAGATGCCGCAGACTCCCTTACTTCCTTCTTCCCCTCCCCAAGCATTAGGAAGGCTGAGATGTGCCTTCAGCAGAGGACCAGCAGCAACCCTGTTCATTGTTTCTGCACTTCAGAGACGGCTGGAGAGGGCCATGAGGAACACACTGGCTGTTTCCTTGGCCTCAAGAGCCTCACAGATGAGTTCCGTTCATGCAGGAAGAGAAGGTGCTGGAAAGTTTGAGCTTTACGGAAAGACTACTTAAACCATGGCAAACTGCCCCTGGACGCTTGGGAACTGCTTGGGTGAAGTGGGTTCTGCTAGAGCTCCTTGGTAACTATGGTGCAGCACTGCTGACACCAAACATAAGAAATCCAGCCAGGGAAGCAGCCTTTGTATTACCACAACTGGTATTAAATTACATGTAATTTACAGCACCTTGCAGCTTGCAAGTTACCGCAGCAGGTTGTATTGGCAATGCCCACGTAGCCTGCCAAAGCTGTCACAGGAGGCAGTGGTGACTGGCACCAAAAGCTGAGGGGTGCCTCAGCTTTTGGCATCTGGAAGACAAGGCTGTTCAGGTATGCCCGGAACATGGAAATTACTGACTTGCTTTGTAGCTGGCAGGGCAAGAGCTAACTGCACTGTCTGCAGGTTTAAGGGTTAATGCTGTCTTGGTTTGTGTCAGACAGTTCATCTTGAGGCAGTATCAGATTGATTATTCTGTGGGAAACTCAAAGTTTTAGTTGCAATAGCAAGGTCTGAAAATACCATTTTGAAAACACAATGTCCTGGACTCTGTCGTGCTGTTCCGGGTCATGGAGCAACTCCTACCACAGCTGCTCGCAAGTGGAAAGCATTACTTCAGTGACCCCTCACTTGGAAACTGTCCCAGTGTTGATATTAGCTAGTTCCCTTAGAAAGGCAATGAAACGGTCTGACTGCTGCCTCGGAGGGACAGGCCTCCTTGTAGGGTCTTTGCATGATTGAGATTGAAAAGAACATGCTGTGCATCTTGCTTTCTCTAGAGGTTTTGGGATAGTTTGGATCCCCGCTCCACTGGCAACTGCCCTGTTTTCAGTCCCAGATAAAGCCGTAAGAAGTATGTGCGGGAGCGGAGAGCGATGAAATCCTATTGGCATCAGCTTTTGTCGGACAAAAGATGGGAGTTGCCCAGATTTGGGTCTGTCTTTCTGTAGTACTTAGGAACTGCGTCTAGCACACTCGCCTCCATCCCTAGGCTGAGTGTTTGTACAGCTCAGGCCACCAACCCACTGCTCGTAAGTGCTGTCTGACTCCCAAAACCCTCTGCTGCTGTGTGCAGCCACAGGCAGTGAAATGGTTAAAGCCAATGCACAGCACAGCCACGTGCCTGCAGAGTTAGTATAGGGCTCTGCCCTGGCCCAGAGATCTGGCCTCCTCCTCTGCACAGCTCTCTGCAGAGTCCTTGTCAGCCCCAGAAGACCCCACACAGCCCTGTCCTCCATCTCCTTCAGCACTGAGAAACGTCCCCTGCAAGCCCAGCACTGTTACCTCCTCTCTGCTAGGATCCCGGCTTGTCCCCAGAGTCTCCTGTAGGACTAACCTCAAGCTGTGTGTGGCAAAGAGAGCTCTCTGACTTTTCCAGTTTCAAGACTCTTGCTCCCACCTTATTTGATCTCTGTGGGTGAGATCTCTGTCCTGCCTTTCACTCTCACCAGTTGCTCAGGCATCACTTTCATGCCCAAACTCTCTGGTGGGTCTCATGGCCAGGAAGGCTCTAATACTTTCAGTTCTTTCTTTCACAGCCACTCTGAAGATTTAGCTCTCCTGTCTGTTCCCATGACTACAGCTCTCCTCTGATCCCCCAGCTGCTGGGATGTCCCTTCCCTCTTGCTTCTGTAAGCACAATTTTGCACTGTCACATCCACATCCAACTTGCAAGCCCCTCTCCCTTGCTGGTTTTTCTGTCCTTGGCAGTCCCCTCCATCAGCTCCCTTAAGCTCACCCATCACTTAAGTGGCTTATTTGCCATTTCAAAGCCCTGCAGAGCCTCTCCTTGCTCCATGGGGCAAGGGGCTCTGGTCCCACTGGCCTGCTCTTTAAAATTTCAGCTGAGCACCTTGGTGCCTTCTCCTCCACTGTCACTCAGCCTTGTGATGAGCGGCTTACCAAGGGAAATGCAGCCTCCGTGCTGCCCTCCCTCTGCGCTGGTGCCTGCGAAGGCCATGGCGAACGCTGGGTCCCTGATGCACAGAGCCCAGTGTCCATCCCGCTGCCCGCCTTGTACTCCTCCAGGGCATCTGTAGGCACCCAGTGCTGCTGGATGGCCCTTTTCCCCCTCTGTACAGAGCTTAGGAGAACAGTGTCTGAACAAAACCCTTTGGCAACATCAGTGAGGGAAGGATTACTAAAGGATGCCAAACAGGTGAAGTTCTCCCTGGTAGTAAGTGGAGAAGGAAAGAGGGTCTTTCCTGGATGGTCTGACTGAAAGGCACGTCCAGCCTGGAGGCCTCCAAAAGAGCCCAGCACCCAGCAGGCTGATGTGCCTCCCTCCAGGCAAGCATCCCCCCCTCCACCCCCGAAAAGGGAAAAAGATGAGACTCGGTCTAAGGAGGGCAACTATTCCGTAGAGGTAGAAGTCTGTGCTTTGTCCAGACCATGCCCCCACCCCGCATCCGTGGGGGCTGGCGCAGGGTGCTGTGGCACTCTGCACAGAGGCCCAGCCCATGCGTCACCCAGTGCCAGCCTGGCTCCTGCGGAGGTACTGGGCACAGCTGGCCCCCCGGGTGGGCGGTGGGTGCCCAGCACGGGTGGTCAGGCTTCTGTGGGGCAGCAACAGGGTAGGGAGAGGTTAGTGATGCTTCTTTGCAACTGGCTTCCCCAAAGCCTGGCAGGGTCTGAGTCCATCCCCCTTACTGGCCTCAGGTAGGGCTGTCTTTGCCTCTCGGGTGGAGGGAGCAGCTCTTTTTACCACCCACGTCTGGGGTTGAGGCTGTCTCTCCAGCAGGCCTCTGATCCCAGACACTGACCTCTCCCTGGGGAGAGCACAGCTGATCCAGACAGCCACTTGTTGCTGTAATCCTCTGTCATCCTCACCCGCCTTACCCTCTCTGCTGACTGAGTCCATAAGCCTTTCCCAGAAGCAGAACCTGTAGCTGCAACAGGGTTATTTCTGTTGCGCTGCCTTGAAACAGCTGGGTCCTATTAAAGCTTCAGCCCAGGGATATAAAAGAACATGAGCATCTCTCTGAGGCAGAGAGGATTAGTGCAGTAGACAGGAGGGGAGAAATACAGCTCTATCTGGGCATGGCTGAAAGCCTAGCACCTCTCCAGCTGAATGGCACAGGCTGAAGTCTGCAGCTTGCCAAGAGCTGTGAGCTGCCAGCTGTGGCCTTTGGGCAGCTGAGGCATGGTTTGCAAGAGGGATGGGTCAGTGGGTCCCCTGTGGTCCCGCTGCAGCGTGCCGTTGTGCTGGGCAGGCGGCTGGGGCCCGCTGTGACATGAGAGCTCTGCCCTGGCAGTCCCTGCTAGTTTGTTTTCTCCCGTAGTGATGTTACCCACAGGAGCCGGGTCTGGTTTGGGAACTGCTCGTGAGCTACTGGTGCCCAAGGGCTGCAGGCTGGGCACAGCAGGGTAAGGCTAAGGTTTATTTTGGATGTTGTTTAACTGGTGTACTTTCTATTAGAGTTCCATTTATAGATTGTTTGCTAGGCCTAAAGAATGAGTAGCAGATGGTTAATCAATTGTCAGAAAGGCCAATATGCTGGAAGATTATTTGTATATGTGACTTTTAAACACTTAAAAGCACTTTCTCACTGATTTGTTTTTTGTCTTATGATGTTGTGAGCAGACTGTATATTAGCCCCTTGCAAATGATGTATGATGCAGAATATGTTAGAGACATGGGCAAGCCCAGGGAATATCAGGGGAGGGGGTGCCCTGCTCAGGCATGGGGGTGTAGCAGTGCCAGAGCAGCTGGAAAGCTGTTTGTCTGGAGGGTGAGTGTTTAGCCGTCTCCGGTGCTGGGCCTGGGCTCAAATAGATAGGTGCTAATTAATCTGTTGGAATGAGCACTAATTACATGCTTGGAACAAAAGCGATGGGCTCTGACCAGCAGGCATTTCTCAGGGCTGAGTGGACATCAACTTGGACGCTGTCTCTTGGTTTTGTTTTGAAATCCAGTGGCAGACACCCGGTCGCAAAGGGAGCGAATACAGGGAGACTTCTGGCTGGTCGGATTAGGTGATTGCAATGCTCCCTTCTGGCCTCACTGGCTGTGAATCTAGGAATTTTTCAAATCCTGAAGCACAAACGTGCTGAGCACAAGGGTGACTGATTCTCCATTCCCCTGCCCTCACCAGCTGCCCTCTGCTTGTCCTGTGGCTCCTGGAAAAACCGTCAGAGACACCCTGCTTGTGAGGACAGAGGAATTTTCTTTCACCTCCTCAGAACCAGTTGAATAAGAGAGAAAAAAACATGAATAAATTATTCAATGGAAACAAATAAAATGCCTGGATCCATCCCATACGTTATTGGAGATGAGCTATTCTGCCAGCAAGATGGATCATATCTTGCTTAGAGCTAGATAAGGACTTCAAGGGATCATTGACCGGGTGCCAACGCTGCCTGCCAGCTGGAGCTTGGAGGGCACAGGGAGCCCTGGCATCTTAATGGAACAAATACCGCTGGCTGTTCTCCTTTCTGTTTTCCTGTTTGTTTTATTGCCTTAATCATTCCTGATGTAGAGGCACAGGAGCAGCCTGCCCAGCCTGACATCAGCCAGGCAGAGCCCTCCCTGACAGTGCACACCCAGGCTAATCCCCCTGCTAGGAATAGCCCCCACTTTATTCTCTCTCTCACTCTCCATCTATCCATCATATTTCTAAGGTGCCTATTACTGGTATCTAGGAGCTATATTTTCACACTCTTTGAGGGGCGTGAATCTGTCAACCAGAACAATCACTCACTAAATGTAAACTGGTGCCATGACTCAGTAACTAATTAATGAGTATTAGGTAACGCAATTATCACCACAAACCATCACCCATCCTTCCCTTTGTGTCACACACACACACACACACACACACACCATAAACACAAGTAACCATTTAGCATTTTCTATCCCTCCCCTCTTTTTTCTCCCTCTCCCTTCTTCCCTCCCTCCCTCCTTCCCTTTTCTCAGAGTTCAGTTATCTCTGTGCTAAATGCTCAGACCTGCATTACGTTAGCAATTTAAGATGACAGAACTAATCCCATTAGATTTTTACCCTCTCGGCACTTTTAGGAAGGCCAAGATAAACAGAGGACGGCTGGGATTGGGGCTGGGATGATTCTTAGTGGGCTTTTTGCCGCTTAGGGCACATTCCTTCAGCAGCTCTTTCCAATGAAAATACCAGCCTTAATTTGGTCTGGCTCTGTGCTAACCTCGACCTTCAACCCTCCCCACCGAACTGGAGCCACAGTGCCTTGGGCTGTACCTACCTGCGAATGTCAGCCCCTACGTCGTGGTCAAAACCTGCTTCCTGAAGGCAATGAACCTGCCGGTGCTCCCTGCTCCAGGGTGCCAGTCGGGTCGAGGTCCAGGCAGCCTCACTGCAAGGAGCTGAGCAAAACCCGTGGCCTGGGGCCAGGGTGAGCACCAGCTGCGCCTTCGGACTCAACCCAGGCTCAACCTATTCTCAGCGTGCAGTGGGTTGTGCTGTGGGATATGTGCGGTGCTCCAGGACTTCCCTGCTCCGACGGTGGGGAGAAGGGGCAGCTTCCCTCCCTCTTAGAGAGTTATACAGAGTTTGACCTCTGGAAAGGCTTTATTGTATGTGACGTGCCTGGAGTTTACACAGATAATATCTAACCAGAAGCAAATAGCTACATGAATCCCTTCACTGCTGGGGTGGGAGTGCATTGGGCTCAGTGTCTTTCAGCTTTGCTGTTCCTCCAGAGGTCCTGATTTAATAAGTGCAGATCAAAAGCCTGTCTCCTCTGGGAGCAGCTTACACTCATATTCCTTTAAGAATACAAAGGGTTTATCTAATTCCTGTCCTTCCTCTATGAACGTCTTCCTCAGACCGACATATTGGTATTGAGCTTTGTTTCATATGATGATGTGTGACGTCCTTCACTCATGTTGGGTGTGTGCACAGTCCTGCTCATTTCCTGAGACCTTCTTACAAGCCACACATGGATCAGACATCAGTCTGCCTCTCCAACCTCCCTCTCACTCTCACATGCCCTGCAAACTACACGACTGCATGTTTCAGGTCCTGGACTGGGGCTGGGACAGAGGCAGAGCTGAGAGCAGGGAGAGAATGGCTGCCCTTGGGGTGGTGGACAGGCCAGGGGGACGTCGTGGTGTAGCAGGAAGGCTGCACGCAGCAGGAAGCGGAGTCAGGAGACCCCGGGGCAGCAGGGACAGACTGGGGTGGCAGGAGGAACATCTGACCATGAAGGGGTGGCTTCTTGTGGAGGGTCTGAATTGCACCTCAAGCAAATGTGCTGTCTGACTGATGGAGAAGGGCTTTGTAGGCTCAGCAAGTTCAGACCAGAAGGAGCAATCTGAGAGTCTGATTTGAGCACAGGTCCTTATCGCAGGCTGTGGAGTTACCCCGCTTATCTCCACTGATCTCTTGCCTGCAACTGCCTGTTTTCCGGAGAAGCATCTGATTGCAGCATTAGGACCGCAATGCTGAGGAGCTGACATGCCTTTGGCAGCTTATTCCAGGAGTTAGTGCCACAGATCAAGGTGCCACTATTGTGTGTGCGTGCATGTGAGTGTAAATGCCAGTATCTTTCCACTGACAAGCTTGTTCTGTGGGGAGCCATGCTTGGCTGTATTCACATGCGCGCCTGGGGGAAATCAGCCATCGCAACAGAGATGGGGAAGGAAGCTGGGCTTCTACCACACAGGGAGTGATGGGGTGGGGAGGATGGAGCGCAGCTTTCCGGACCCTCCGTCTCACACATTGTGAGTGCTCAGCAGGTGCTTAGTTACTAATTGCACCAGATGGAGTGCCTGCTTCTATTTAATGCATGTTTTTTGGGTACAGGATGATCATTAGCAATCCATGATAGGGCTTTCTCCTTATTTACCTGGCAGTGGGCTGCCAGGCACTTGCTGTGCAGGAGGCTGGAGAGCCATGAGGGCTCATCAGGTTTGCTTACAAGGTATATGTCAAAAGAATAGCAGGGGCTTTCCCCTTTCCACTCGCATTTCACCCTGTGATGGAGGAGTGAGCTGGACTAACTTCTTTGGTCTCTCGCTCTGTAGCAGACTTGTCTGTCTGGTCCTTCCACAGTAGCAGCTATGGTCTCAGGCAGGGATGGGGACCCTGTTGTGCCAAGTGCTGCCTAAAGAAGATGGACTGCACCCTAGTTACAACCTTTTCTTCTTGGATCTGTGGCTATCTGTGCCCCATCTCCTCCTCCATAGCCCACAAGGGGGGTTTGGGAAGGGAAAGGCGTTGTCTTATCTTGAGGACACACTTGCTAATGGCTTGGCTCTGCAGGGCTGGGGCCACAGAAACCCTTAGACCAAAAGATCTTATCGGTGGGTGAGGAGTCCGAAGCTCCTAATGGCTCAGAGGGAGAGCAGAAAAACAGCCATAAATCACTGCTAAAAGGCTTAGGGAGGGAGGAGGCCAGTGATTGAGTTTGCTGCAGCTCCCTGGTGAAAGCGGGTCTGGGAGAGCACCCGCAGAGCATCGCAGACAAGGGGCAGTGAGTGCAGAGAGTAAATCCAATTGCTCTCTCAGGTTATGGTCTCTGCCAGGCGTCGGCCCTCAGAGCCCTTCTGAAATGTCATCTGGGCTTTGCCAAGGCTGTGTTGTCTCCTCCTGGACTGTGGTGCTGGCGTAGAGGGATGGGGCAGAGGGAGATGGGCGCTGAGGGAGATGGAGACAGGGAGGGAGATGCAGCATAGGGGACATGAAGTGGGAGGAGAGGGAAAGGGGAAATAAGTGCCGTGGAGGTGCAAGAGGCAAGAGATGGGCACATGGAGGACAAGGGGGACAGATTTAGCATGGTGTAAGGAAAGAGGATGGTTTGAAAGCACCCTTCTCTGTCACATGTGGGTGCCTGACAGCTGGAGAGGTCCCTCGCTGGGAGGCTTCACGGCAGCCTGGGGCAATGATGTGCCTGGTGTGAGAGCAGAGCAGGAGTCGTGCTGAAGTGTCCATTGTGGCACCTCAGCTCTGCCACCTGCTTCCTCCATCCTTGGACACGTCCTGCTGGGTACAGGCAGAGCTGGGGCTTGCTGGCTGCCTGCCGGCCCTGGGAAGCCCAAGGGCTGTGCCTGGCCCTGGCCCCTCCACGTGCCCTGCGCGTCGCTGACCCCCACCATACCTCCCTGAGCTCCAGGGTCACTTCTGAGAGATGAAATGTCCAAGGCGTCCCCTTGCCATGAGAGTACGCATCAAAGGCATCGGGCACCTGAGCAAGAATCTCTCTCTGCCAGGTCAATCCCATGGCAATCACCAGTAAAATTCTCTTTTCCTTCTCATGAAAATGCAGAGAGGGAGACAAGGAGCTGTTAAATCATGTGAAATGTAAAGTATGAAGATAGCTTTCCATGCTAGCAGACTCCCCCATTGACTCTGGGGCTGCCTGTCCATGGGGAGGAGAGAGGGAAGGATAGCAGG